GCCTGTTAATGCCTACCGTAGAGTAGACCAAAGGCTTTTCCAATCACAGGCCGGTCGCTTTCCACAGTGGCACTGAACACAACAGTACAAACGAAAGCCCAATAATATCTTTATTCAAATGAATTTTCCAAAATATTTAAAAATTACTTAAAAATTTTTTAATTAACAAGCCCTTTCATTAAGCTAATATTTTTCTGAAAGTCTCAAAACTATCTTTCACATAGAAAATTTCATCTTCCCCAGTTTCAGCCATCAGATCAAAACACACCTACACAGATGTGCGATTGTGTGTGATCTGATGGCTAATACTTCTGTGGGGGTATTAACATACGGGCAGAATCGAATTTATTCGATATCCTCATATTCTGTCCCACCATAAATAGTATTTTTAAAAAAATTAAAAATAATAATACTAAGAGTATATACATTCATTGGTTTAAATTATAATTAAATATATATGTTTGTGTTTGTATTAGAACTACAATATGAACGAATAGTTGATCCAAAACAAATTTGAGAACAATTTTGGCCATAAATTCAAATCTGTCCCGTTTCATTTAATTTGACACATTTTGTTATCAATTCTGACAGTATGTGTTATTAAAGTGAATATTTTTTTTTACAAAAGTTGTCAATGATTGAAAACTAGGTAAAAAATTGGTTTGGTGTTTTAATATTATTAGAGGAGGCAATTCGTGTGGTATGTTGACATAATTATCTTTCACTTTTTTTATTTATTAGTCTTAGCTGCAGGAATGAGCCATTGACTTTAACAGTCATGAAAACGATATGATTTCGTGCCATTTAATGTTGTGCTGAATAAAAATTGCACATCATTGTGGAAAAAAAATAAAAATAATGGATTTGGTGATTAGTCTTATGTTTGGGATTCATTGGAGGATAGAGATTACTCTGCTAACAATCTCAAAATTATAAATGAAGCATTAAATATAGATTATAAATGAAGCATTAAATATAGTCTTATGTTCGGTTCGAATATTCAGAGATTTCTTATCATTTTTTAAATAGTTATATTTTATTTTTTTATTTTTTTTTTAAATCCAACATTCATCATACTAAAGATTTTATTTTTAAATCAACTTTAGACGTAACCCTAAATTTTAGGTAAGACTAAATTCAACAAACATTGAAAATTTAAAATTCAAATAAAATATAATACAATTTTATATTGAAGTAATATTTATTTAACCTTCCATACCATATTAGTTATAAGATAAACTAGGCTAAGTATATATCGACAACTTTAAGTAAAACTTAATATATATATATTAAAATCTTTATCCTTTCATTCCATCTTATTTTTTTTTAAACAAGAGAAATTCAATTGTAGATCAAGTATTACTAAACATGAAATGTAAGTGAATCTTAATAGTTACTACTATATTTTATTTGTATTTAAAAAATTCTCAAATTATATAGGATCAAAGTTGACATAAAATATATTAATAACATGCATCTATTTTATAATTCGGTTCTTCGATTCGGTACGGTACGGTACGGTTCGGTTCGGTTCTCGATACGGATATTTATGAAATATCCAAAACCGTACCAATTATTTTTTCGGTTCGGTTCGGTTCGGAGAAAGTCAAACGGTCAACGGATATTTTTCGGTTCGGAGTGATTTCGGTTCGGTTTTCGGAACAGTTCGGAATTCTCCGAGTCCCATGTTCAGCCCTAGTGTAAATATACGTATTAACATAGAACCTGGTTACCTGGTGAATATCTTGATGCCTAATTTTTTTTTTTTGAGTTATACTTTTCTTCTTCCTATAATTTTTTTTTTCACTTTTATCGTACAACTCCTAGGTCCTTAGGTCGTAATCACGACTCTCGACCTTCTTGTAGTGTCCTGACTGAGGTCGACCCTCGACCTCCTGACTTGCGACCTCGACACCTCGAGGTCACTCTGCATATGCATACTCTTGGAGGTCGCATCCTAGATCATTTCTTCAAGTCGACCAATACCTAAAGCTACGTTTGCGAGCTCCCTGACTGACCGCCGAATTATTCTAGATGCTACATCAATGCTAGCCCAATATGATATGTGGTGACAATGAATTAATTTACTTGCGTACTAAGAGCAAAAGTCGGCGATGCGAACATTTGCAAAAAAGAACTCCGATTTTGTTTTCAGAGGCAGCTAGACCAGCCTATACTAATCAATGTTGTTTAGTTAGTGGTTTTGAGTAACAGGGATAGAATGAAACCGATAATTCTCGAAAGGCCTTTCTGAATATTCAACTCAAAACCTGAGAAGCATATGATTAAAGCGTCTCATTTACCTATCAGACCTCAACGCATAGAACTCTCACGGCGAAATTTTATTCTTACCACAAGAATATTAAAATATAGCTTATATACGAGATGTGATATTTTATTAACATGCATACCAAAATAAACTGCTTTTATTTGGTGCTGGAATAAAAACTTCTGTTATCAAAGGAACCTTCCTACAATCACGCACTTTCCTACAATCACACACCTGTAAGAATCCACTGGAAATAAAAAAGGTAAGTGGATATGAATTATTTATTAGGAATTTGTTCTTATCAACATGTAAAGGAGTATAATTTGAAAATCAAACGTACTTCCTCTCTCAAAATACAGTAAAAACACGAACAAGAAATATACAGTATATACATGATCACTAAATAACTCTTCTACCTGCTATAAGCACCGACCGAACATATACATAATACAATATACACGATCAGAATATAAAGACAACAAATCATATACATAATAATATAATATTCGCTATAAATAATAGATTGAATTTTCGGTATGTGTTCCGTATTATATACAAATCATATACATATTATACATATTGTATATGTTTAAAGTATACTGTATTCAGTTTTTGGTATATGTTATGGATATATGTTCTGTATGTGTTCCGTGTTATATACAGATCATATACATAATAATATAAAATTCACTATAAATAATAGTTTGAATTTTTGGTATGTGTTCCATATTATATATAGGTCATATACATATTATACATATTGTATATGTTTAAAGTATATTGTATTCAGTTTTATTGAAATTTTCTTTTGCAGATTATATACTTTTAAAAGTATACACATAAAATATGCATAAAATATACACTCGAGAATCTCGTAATTCAAGCCAGGACACACATATACATAAAATATACTTTAAATATACACTAGAGTTTCAATCTTTTCTCAAAACCGATTTCGGAACTCACATATACATAATATATACATAAGATATACACTCGAGATTCTCCGTATTCAAGCCATCGAGACACACATATACATAAAATATATTCTCGATATTCAATCGTTTCTCATTTCAGAACCCACATTAAGAGCTGGAGAGCTTCGTTTCACCGGAAGACAAATGACTCGCTCAAGCAACCACGTAGGCAGCAGAACAGCGGTCGGAGAGCCTCGTTTCAGCCCGGACAGCGGCAAGAGAGCCTCGTTTCAGCCCAGGAAGCTCCCAAACAACTTTGTTTCAGCCCGAACAGCTCTCAGACAGCCCCGTTTCAGCCATGACAATTGACAACTCCCAAACAGCCATACGAGCGTCCCGGACAGCGTACTAACAGCCCGAGTATCCCAAGCAGCCCCGTAGGACGCCGAACAACGTTCAGAGAGCCCGTTAGCAGCCCCGGCATTCATACGAATGGCCCGTACAGCCTTACGTGCGTGCCGAATGGGGTGTTGTAGCTTAAACGTAGCAAAAGGAGAGAAGAAAAAAAATATTGGAAGAAAAATATGTTGGCCTTTGGGGCAATTTATCAAACACGTGAATGGCAGAGAGTATAGAAGGTGGAAGTTGATGAGAACCTTTTGAAGAAGTCGGCCAAAAAAATTCGCAGTACACGCAGCAGCACAACAACATAAAAGCAAGGAAAAAATAAAAGGGCAGAGATAAGTTTCGAATTTAGCCAAACCACTAACAGCAATAACAGAAGGAAAGAGAAAAAATAAAGGAAGAGGAGAGTTATACCTGTTTTGTGCTTTCTCGTTTGACGAATGAAAGTCAAAGGCGCCTCCCTTTTATAGGCGAAGGTTTGAGACGAAACTAAGAAAATTTTCATTATTTTCCTACTTGGAGTTGAAGTAGTATACAAAGTTTTTACTGCCTTCCAGAAAAAAAATGAGCAAGGCAAGAAATCTGATGTTCGAGATTTGCAGAAGAGATCAACAAAAATTTTGTACTATGTACATACCTGTCCTGCTGCGAAGAAGGAAATATAGAAAAAATATAAATAATTCTTGGGAAGTAAAAGATATGTGTTGAAAGGTCTATGAGTATCTTGTGTATGAATTTGATTGCGCACATGTTGATATGGAAGTAATATATGTGGAAGGAAAGAAATCTAGTTCACATTAGATCTGATGTGAAGAAGAGAGAGAGAGGGATGAAGAGGAGAGAGAGAGCATATAATTAGGGGAATTACCTATCCAAAACAACTTCTAATATATATGCAAATAAAAATTTAAGGATTGTAAATGTGCAATAATGTTGTAAATGTCTAGTAGCCTGTGCAAATTTCTCAACTCTCACATTGACTTTTTAGTGGACTACAATCTACATATCTGAGTCTCTTCAGTATCCTCTTAACCTTAGAGCTTGGGCCAAGAATTTCATCAATGAGTTGAGATATAATCCTATTTCAAATAAAAATTATATATTAAACCAATTCTTAATTTCAATCATAAATTAATACCCGACACCAAATCAAGTGCAATTTTCTGAATATGTTTTTAGATTCCGGAAACCAATGGGCTGTAGAATTTGTATCCGTGCTTTATAAACTTATTACTGGGCTTTGAACACAAGTTGGCTTTACTTTCGAAATTTAAAATGGGTTACCTCCTACCTCGAGAAACGTACTGGTCCAAACCAGGCCCAACTTCCTTACACTGTTTTTACCACATATCGTGAGAAAAACGTGAATCACATCTCAGTTCTCACTTTGAGTTCAAACCACGCAAGAAAAAAAAAAAAAAAATGAAAAAGAAAATAATACAGTAAAGTACCTCAAAATCAAACAACACCTTCTTCTCCAAACTAGGGTTTTTTTTCCTTCTCCATAGGGTTTATTCACACCACACGCAACATGGTGAATTTGGGGCATCAACAGTTGTTATTCGAGGAACCTTGAGGGTAAACTTTGATTTTGATTTTTGTTTCGTGTTGGGCTCGATGGAAGCTGGAGTTGAGGTGGACGGAGGCTCTGCGACGAGGAAGTTGCTCCACCACCACCGCTCGCGGCCGCCGCCGCCGCCGCAGCAGCAGCAGCCGCAGATATCACAGATTGGGACGGTCCCGCAGCTCCTCGCCGGCGGCATAGCTGGAGCTTTCAGCAAGACCTGTACTGCTCCTCTAGCTCGCCTCACCATTCTTTTTCAGGTATCGTTTCATTTTTGTTTTGTTTTCTTTGCATATTGTTTTTCCATAATTTTTTTTTTCTTTTTTTTTTTTGTNTTTTTGTCTTCCCTTGAGTTATGCTTAAACTGGAAGGTTCATACAAATAGAAAATTCCAGAAATGACTGTGTTAAGAGTAGTGATATGAAGTCCCTGCTAACGATAGCTTAAATTCCCTTCTACCTCTCTAAATTTTTTGTTTTGTACTAGTTTTACTTTGACCTTCCTAGAAGAAAATTTAAGACCCTAAAGTAGTTTTGCAGGGAAGGGAAAACTTATTTCCATTTCCAAGGTTATGGCATTGGTGGAAATTAGAAACTTATTTCCATTTCCAAGGTTATGGCATTGGTGAAAATTAGAAACATGTGATACATATGTAAATCAACTAATCAAGGGTTTGATTTAGTATTAATTGAATCTTGTTACAGTGACGTAGTTGTTTAGCAATTTCATGAGTTGATTGATATTTTCGATTTTAGTCCTCACGCATTAGAAACCGTCACCCAATATCAATTATCACCCATCTCTGTTTTGTAGTGTCTTAGGTGATATATTTACAGATATATTCAGTTGGTTTGGTTCATTCTGTTTTTCGCATTTTTATTTTTGCTTACTAATTAATTTTCTTCACCTCCTGTTAGATACAAGGCATGCATTCAGATGTTGCGAGTATGAGTAAGCCTAGTATATGGCGTGAGGCAGTGCGTATAGTCAATGAGGAAGGTTTCAGAGCTTTCTGGAAAGGGAATTTGGTTACTATAGCTCATCGTCTTCCTTATTCTGCAGTCAACTTTTACTCCTATGAACAGTACAAAAGAGTGAGTATTATTGGATGTTTAGATGTGAATTTCATTTGACAATGTTGAGGAATGCTTGACTGCACATAGAGTTTTAACGTCTTCTGCAGATTTTAAGATCAATTCCAGGCCTTGATGGTCGAGAGAGAAATCCAAGTGCGGATATTTTTGTGCATTTTGTGGGTGGTGGCTTAGCTGGGATAACTGCTGCTTCTGCCACATATCCTTTGGATCTTGTCAGGACAAGACTTGCTGCACAGGTTCAAAAACAATAATAAGATAGGAACTTAATATTCGAACTTGTTACAAGATAAGAATATTTCTTTACGTTTTTTTTTATTAATTCTTTCACTATTTCTGGCTATGACTCGTTAGGACTTAAGAGCAATATATGACCTCCTGGCTGAACTTTTTAATTCTTTCACTATTTCTGGCTATAACTCGTTAGGACTTGAGAGCAATATATGACCTCCTGGCTGAACTTATCCATGTTCTATGCATCTTTTTGATAATTTTGGTTCCTTATATGGTTTTGTTTTTCATTTTCATCACGAAAACATTGTAGAGGAATGCAATATACTATCAAGGTATAAGGCATGCACTTCATACCATCTGCAGAGATGAAGGTTTTCTTGGCCTATACAAAGGACTGGGAGCAACATTATTGGTACTTTTCTATTTCGTAATGTCCGAGAATTTTCAAGTGTTCTGCGCGTGCACATATCGCTAAATGGATGACAAGATTTGGGTTTTTTGCTTTTTATGTTCCTTTTTCGTGTTTGCAGGGTGTTGGGCCAAGTATAGCAATAAGCTTTTCAGTTTATGAGAGTTTGAGATCTTCTTGGCATTCTCAAAGGTGAAAATGGGCTCTGGCTTGTCTGTACTTAATATATTTTCCCATCTTCTCTTGTTTAGGTAGTTTCAAACATTCGATTTTTTTTTTTTTTTGTTAGGCCCAATGATTCTACAGTTTTGGTCAGCCTTGCTTGTGGCAGTCTTTCTGGCATTGCATCTTCTACAGGTGTGTGGGTTTATACCTACCAACAGAATGTGTTAGAAATCTGATAATTTTAATCGAGTCTATTATGCATCAGTTTTACACGATTTACATCGCTTTATTCATTACAGCAACATTTCCTTTGGACCTCGTGAGGAGAAGAATGCAATTGGAAGGTGCAGGTGGTCGAGCCCGGGTGTACAACACCGGATTATTTGGCGCTTTCAGATACATTATCCAAACGGAAGGCTTTCGTGGGTTGTACCGAGGGATCATGCCCGAGTACTACAAGGTTGTACCGAGTGTAGGGATCGTTTTCATGACTTACGAAACTTTGAAGAAGCTACTTTCACGCGGACCTTTCAATTAGTCTTTTGCACACGACCTCGATTTGGGTTTGATAAACCTAAACACAACAAGTCCATGAAGCAGAAAGATCAGCAAATTTTTGTCATTTTAGTGTATTTGGATATTCAGTAGTAGGCAGAGATATACTCTTCTTCTTCGTCCATGTCACTTTTTATATAAAAAAAAGAAAGTCTTCGTAAATTTTTTGCGGGCGTACGGATATTATTATGTATAGACGCGTTTGTGTCGTGCTTTAGATTATTGCTTCTAATGAAATCTTAATTCATTCTAGGGCTTGTGAACATCATATTGATGATTAGATGAGCAAATTATTGAGGCATTTTCTGTCTGTTGATTTGTACCGATGCTATTCATTTAAGAGAATCCTACGGTTTTGCAGTTTTGTTGATTCTGCCACGACATTGCATTCATAATTGTACTGAACAATATCTTCTTTAGATTTCATTAGGGTTGCAAACGAATCGCGAGCCGTTCGAGTCAGAGCTCGGCTCGAGTTCGAGCATGTTATTGAGTCGATCTTGAGCATAGGTTTTGGAAGGTCGCGAGTGGCTTGAGATATATAATGAATTACTAAAATACCCTTTATATACAAATATTGTAATATTTTATATATGTACTTAATGATAATTTTACTTGAATTTTGAATCGAACTTGAGCCAACTCGAGCAATCTTTCGAGTATTTTGATTTCAATCGATCTCGAGCCGAACTCGAGCGATTATCTTCTTTTGTCAAGTCGATCTCGAGCGTCATAAATCGAGCTCGTCGAGCTCGAGCAGGTAAAAAGAAAGTCAATCTTGCTCGATACGGTCAATACTTGACTCAGCTCAGCTCGTTTGCAGCCATGCTAATATGAATGCAACTCGAATTTCCAGGGTTTTTTTTTTTCTTGTAATTTGTATTTATTTATTTATTTTTTCCCATAGTAGTGTATGAGCTTTGCTTCTGGTTCTGTTTATAAAGCAGTCAAATAGTTGTCTGTTGAAAAGTCGAGATTCTCTCACATCATTGGTCAGACAAGGAACAAAATTTGATGATTACAAGGCAAAACAGAACCTTATCGTGGCTGATTATAATATATAACTATCTTTTAATAACAGAATTTGTTATGATTAGGGTAAAACAGCACCTTAAGGTGGCTGATTAAAATATTAAATGTGGGGTTGTTAGATATTCCATCTCCCATGCATATAAATATCATGCATGAGAAACAAGGGAAGATATGTACAGTTATCTTACTAATCTCTTATGTAAAATTGTCTGTCAAAAGTGTCGTAAAATTGGGCTTTGAAGACTGGGTAATCTGCATCCTGAGGTTTAGATGAGAAAGCTAACGTCGATTTCGCGTTGTCATATCTAGGCCTCAGGCTGCAGATTACCTCGTCCTCATGTCAATGAGGTCTCGGGATATAATAAAAGGATATCTATACGTTGAAAGTTACACATTTATCTTTATTTTCGTCATCTTTCACTAATAACAAGTCGATAACGTGCCTTGTTCAGGTTTGTGATTATGGTAATAACGAGTCGATAATGATTTCTTGGAAAATAGTTTCTATTGTTGTTGAAATTGTGAATAGGTGAAGAGTAATTGATGAAGTTGAAAACTAAGGTTTGATTACATTATTTTGCATCAAAATTTAAACACGACTTAGTAGTAGAACTAACATCTCTCTCTGTCTCTCTCTCTCCTTAGATGTTTGGTAGAGTTCTTACAATTACTTCCTTGCTCCCAAGTAAATCTTTGCCATCTTTGAACAGAAGAAATACCATAATCTCCACACGGAAAACGATGAAGCTTCCTCTAAGATGTGTTGCAAAGTTGAAATTCTCGCATGGTTTAGGCAAATTAGCGAAAAAGAAAAATCACAATTTAGTTCGCAAAACGCAACCGATAAATGTGGAATTTCATGACGCGCTTGACGATTTGACATGCGAATAGAGGCTAGTTAAAGTAAAACGAATACATGCTTTTCCCTAAAGAGAAAGAGAGAAAAAAAAAAAAAAAAGAAGGATTGCTTTAGTTGGGATCTTTGGCCTCATAAGGCATTAAACTATATCAACCTTTCTCAAAATACAACAACAATGGTGAACTAAACTGTTAGCTTTTGTTCAAAAAAAGTCTCATATTCTATCGAAACGTGTCTATAACTTTTGACAAAAACACCAAGAGGGGCCATACATTCTCCCATTCTTCGAATTCGGCTAAGTATTTTATACGGAAAGGTTCCGTGTTTTTATATAGGAAAAGAAAGATATTATAGTTAATAGGTAGTTAAGAGATATTCCCTAATTGTTTTAGCCCTTTGATTTGTTCAGATTCTTTGGCTGCTTTCACTATTTTACTCACTAAGCCCACAAGAAAAAGGTATAAATATTAATGGAAGCCATATTCTCTTTTGCACAGTGCTCTGTATTTTTTCATTAGTGATGATCATCATCATAACACAAAAACTCTGGTGGGACTGTATGCTTTTTTTTTTCATTCAATTTCTGCGAAAATTAGGTAATAACGACAAGTAAATCACAAGTTATGCACCTTTTTTCATGTCACGAATCGAGTGCAAATGATCTTAACGCATCATGAATTAGATTATTGTGATTCTGGTCTTGAACGAGACAAAAAAAAATAAAATAAAATAAAAAATAAAATCCTTAGCGCCCTTTTTCTTGTAACTATTTACTGGTAAAAAAACATAAAAATCAGTCAGATCGAATAGGCGAATAGCTAAACTATGTAGGAGACATTTAAGTTATAAACTTGTACTGAAGATTATTCCACAGCCTATATACTCTTGAGGAGGGTAAAAAAAGGAACTTTCTTTAGAATATAATGTGTTGAAAGTTAGGTGAGAATGAAAAATTAGTAATTCTGATTTGCAGATGTCAGTTTCACATTTTTTTTCTTGGAAGTTTCTAAAACATGGTGGCTAAGTGAAAATATCGTTACGAACGAAAAATACAATCCTACCCCGGCGGACACTATCCAACAGTTGAAGAAATTCACCCAATAAGAACATGACACTTGTCACGCAGAATGAACAACTCATGAAAGAATCTTGACATTAAAAGATTGAGCCCACATGGATAAAATCATAACCTTCAATACATTAAACACATCATATGACAATTCAAAATACACAATAACAGATAAAGGCAAGGAACAAGTAATGATACATTTGTTATATAGAAAAATCTTTGTGTTACTATTATACGGCCAAATATGGCCAACCTGTAGAGGCTCTCTCAATTATTACAAATCACAAAACGAAAAGATAAGAAAAAAATT